ATAATGAAATGATTCTAAATCCAGTGGCTACCCCTTGGTTTCTACTTAAATATTTCTGCACCTTTTAGGTGAATCTCTCTTGCATTGGCTCCCAAAACATGTCATTTGCCTTCTCAACCCTGATTACCTTTGTAGGTTCATCTTTTTCTGTACTTTTCATAAAAGTTGACCTATTCATCCCAGTCCTCTACAGAGGGCTGAGAAGGAACCCTCTTTCTAAAATGCAAATCTAACATAACTCTGTTTTAAATCTCGAAGTGGTCTCCCATTGCTTACAAGGCTTAGCTTTTTAGCCTAATAGGCTTACAAAACCAATTCCATTCTCTGTCTAAACCATATGCAGTTTCCCAGAGTGCTGGACATTTTCATGCCTCAGAGCTTGTGCACATGTTTCCTCTGCATGAGGTACTCCTTAGAGAAGTCTAGAACATTTATTTTCCATCACCAACTATTTAAGAAGCACCTACAATGTATAAGAAAATACATCAGGCTCTGTGGGACACACAATGTGTCAGAACTTTAGTACCACCCCTCCTGGGGCTGTGATAAGGGATATGTTTTGTACATTATCGCATCAGATTTTATCAACTATTTCCAGTCCTTTGTGCCTTTACAGGTTCTCATCATATGTTTGCCTCTATTATAAGTCCAGAAAGGTCTAGAAATGCGCTTTTCAAAAAATAATATATCCCATTGTGGGGAGGAAAGGTATAGTAAAATGGAGTTATTCATATGCTCAGTAAGCTAGAATATGCAAAATTAAGTGTTCTTCCTGCTATTATCATCATCATAACCACTAATATACACAGAGGAAATAGCCACAAGTAAAGTAAAAGTCCGGATGCCATAAGCATAAAGCACTTCACTCACATAGCCTCAGTATAGTGAAGTCTAAAGTAGACGCATTAACGCTCACTGAGATAGACATTATTATTTTCAGTAGAGTATAATTTTCATGTTTCTCCATAAAAAATAAAAAACACCCATCAAGGAAATGGTGATAATCAATATTTCTCATTCACACTAAATATTCAGAGAAATATGCCTCATTAATAAAGCCAGCAAATTCACCTCAGAAATGAATATTGCATTGTATTAAACACAATAACAAAATCACCCTCAAGGTCATTCATTTTGCTGCTATGTATAGATAAAAGATCTGTACGCACATATTTGCATATATTTAGATAAAGCACATACAAAAATAGTATAACTGTTTTCCGTCAAATAGAAATACACTTTCTCTGCCCTCTAAGTCCATCAAATGACAGATTATGAAAACATATCCTTTTCCTGAGTCTTCCCAAATTAAGTAAGAATGCAACGGTATTTGCAGTATAGCAAAGAGCACATATAACTTTTATGAGTATACTTTCCAAACTGTAATCCATCATATATTTATCACTTAGGATCTTTGCTCCCCAAATCATAAGCATACATGTCTTTCAAACACATCTATTTTTAAGCTAGGATATATAAATTTGAAGATGTTATTTTAGATAATTTATTGTCTAATATTTTTTCTCCATCCTGTGTGCCTCTCTCGGCAACCTCTATAACAATAGCTTGCTCCTTTCCTGAACTTTTCTTCTGTTTTGACATCTGACTTTTCTCTTGCCTTTCCAGACTTACCTTTTCATTCTCTTTTGTAGGTCTTTCTTCTCCAGTCTCTCAAATTGTCATTTTCAATGTTCTCTTTGCTCATCTTGATCTTTTTTACTTTTCCGTCTCTGAAAATACCATCCAAACCTTAACTTCAGTTTTAACCCAAATAGTAATGACCCTTAAATTTATATCTACAGTTCAGATCTTTGTCTCATGCTCTGAATTTATATAACCTTATTTACCATCAACTGTTGAATATACAATCAAGCATCTTCTATTTAATGTACATAGAAATGAACCTACATATTCACTTCCTAAATATATTTATTTCCCACCATTCCTAATCTCAGTTTAGAAATATTGGAACTAAAAAAAATATTGAAACTATTTTTATATGTTTTTCTTTTTGCTTTACCATCCAATCAATAGCCAAGACTTCTTGATCTTTTTCTATGAATATCTCTCCAAATTTTATACTTAACTATTTCCACTGCCATAGCTGTAGTTCAGATATGCATTATTTCTTGCTCAACATTCTCCAATGCATGTTCTTTTCTACCAGTGTTATGTATCTTCCTGGTCTGTTTATCAGTGTAAGATCTATCTCTTATTCATCATCAGTTTCTCTAGTACAGTGTCTAGGCCATAGAATTACCACAGTAGAAAAGCTTTATAATGTAGCAAGAATTACTATATTCTAGACACCATTCTACATGCTCTGGATACATCATGAAACAAACCTTGGAAAGATACCACCTCTCTGATGCTCACATTCTAGTGGACAACAATATACAATAAATAATAAACAAACTGAGTAGTAAATTAGTAGCATAGTAGCATGGAAAGGGGCTCTGAAAAAAAAAAGATCAGATTGTTGGGGATGAGGAAAACCAGGGGAGGGCAAGCTGGAAATAAAATAAGGTGGTCAAGGTAGGCCTTGCTGAGATGAAGTCTTAGTAAAAGCTCAAAGGAAGTGAGGGAGTTACATACGCATTTATTAGGAATAAAAAGTTTCTAGCAGAAGAAGCAACCAGTACACATGTCCTAATGAAGAGAACATGCATAATGTGTTCAAGAAACAGTAAGAAAGCCATGGCTAGAGGGAAGTTTCAAGGAGAATAGAAGTAAAAGATGAAATCAGAGAGCTAGTAAACATTTGGAGCCTTTGTGAGGGTTTAATCTTCTATTCTGGGTAATAAGATTGAATAAATAATGACAAAGCTCCTTACAAAAGACATGGATCTGCAAAACTAAAATTATTCATCAAAGTAAGAAAGAGAAGGTAAATTATGGCTTCCTAAACTGTCCGCTAGTTAGTGTGTCTAATTAAATATCCACATTTTAAAATATTATTAGATATATAATGATAGATTCCTTTAATAGGTCTTTAAATCTGGATTAACCAAATAAAAATCAACAACCTTTTTGACTGCACCGATTTGAAAACTGACCATGGGTAGTTTCTGACACTGCAGTGCACTGAGCACAGTTGTTCAAGGTGCCTTGAGCAACAAGGGTTTTGAAAACATTCCTAATAGTCTGGAAAGAAAAGCAGCACCAAATGCTGGTTAGCCTCTATAAGAAGCACTCATTCCAGCAAGATACCAAATTTGTAAACTGCTGCCGTAAATCATGTGTGAATGGTGAAGGTAGATTCTGGAAAGTGAAACAAACACCCACAATTAGTGAGAAGTAGTACATTGTTTTGAAATTACCTTTGAAGGCTGATTTTGCTACGAAGTCCTGATGTTTTACTTCTGTGGTTTAGAGGGCATCGATACTGATGGAAAGCTTCACTTTTGTTGGTGGAAGCAGTTGTGAGCTCTTTACAACACCATCAGTGACCCGGTGGACATGGAAAACACCTCATCTGGAGACAGTAGCTTCATCACACCCCTTACAAGGCCTCAGGTGATCCCCTTTACCTTATACAGGAATCCAAGGAGGCAACTGCCAAATTAGAAAATATGTCCCTTGGGTAAGGAAGCCTGCCATACATGGACTGCCTTCCATTATGTATCAAACCTAAAATTTAATCTGATCTCTCCCAAAATATCTCTAGGTATTATTTTTCCAAAGCTAAAAACACATCAGATAAATGGATTCTCTTCAATATGTTTTTTTTTTTCAAAACATCAATTTCTACAGGTATAGAAAATAAATCCAGGGGATGTACAGTTTCAGTCACAACATGGCCTGAGCCTGGACGTTGTCGCTTCCACACTTAAAATAAGAAAAATGCAACAAACTTAAAATCAATTACTTTCCCTGGATTCTGAGAACTGTGGTTGCAGGACAAATGCCCACCCCTAAATCTGGAGGATCACAGCTGATATCTGCTCACCTAGCGCAGAAGCTACTAGTACTGTAAAGTGACAGGAATACTTAAATGGTAATTTTAACAAATTTCTGGAGGCTGAGTATAAACTAGAATGAAAGTGGGAAACTCCACGGGCACCAGATTTAGGGGACCTCATATTTATTGAATTTTACCACTAGGAAATGCACTAGCAACTTACAATTAAAAAATCAAGAAAGATATTCTCTTGACTCTAACAGGAGGAGGAAAAGAGTAATATGAAATATGCCCAGTGTGTTCTTCATAATATGCTCACTCTCTAGGGGAAAAGTCTTTGCCAGAGCCTTATTCCACCTGGAGGAGGGGCATCTACCCAACTCTGTCCTCTTTAGCCTTCCTGTCTCACCTAAAGGGGAAAAAGCTATACTATTGGAACAATGCCTGTGATGGTCATGACCTAGGGAAAAAAGCCCACTAAACTACTGACATTTAATCAAAACACTATACAGTACTTTCCTTATCCCACATCTTACCAGCACACACAGGGCTCCGGTGTAACAGTGGATTACAATGGAAAAAAAAAATGCCAAGACCCAGACTCTAGAGGGAGGAGTCCAAAGGCAAGAAGGGACACCAAAACCAAGGATACTAGAGGAATTTTAAACCTCTCCCACCTATAACTACAACAAATATTAAATACAGCTCACCTCCTGGCCACATTAACTTAAATCTTCACAACTGTTTACCTCAGTTCCCATTAGACCATGAAACATGTCCAGCTACCAACAAAAATTAACATGCGTGCCAAAGGACCAAACAAAAAAATTCTGAAGAGACAGAGAAACCATCAGACTGTGGCTTAGACATGACACAGATATTGGAATTATAAAAACAGATTTCTAAATAACTATGATTGACTTGCAAAGGTTCTGATGGAGTGTGCAAGGAAATGTTTTCAGAGTTGCAAGAAAAAAGAAAACAACAACTTAGAATTCTATATCCATGGAAACTCTCCTCAAATGTGAGGGAGAAATAAAGACATTTCTGGAAAACAGAGACTGAGGGAATTCATTATGACCAGATCTTCCCTGCAAGAATGTTCGAAGTTCTCCAAGTAGAAAAACAACAGCAACAGTACCCTAACGGTTCAGAAACCCAGATCGACACAAAGAAAGAAAAAGCTATGGTGATGCAATAAATTGAAGTAAAATAAAATCTCTCAGGAGGCAGGGCAAGCTGGCAGAGGAGCGGGGTCCTCACCTGCCCCGGCCCCACCAATTGACCTAATGACTTACAAACCATCCTGAACACCTGCGAAGTTGACCTGAGATTTAAAGAGAGAGCAGCTGGAAGGCTACAGAGAGAAAAATTTTAGCTTCTCACAAGGTAGGAAGGCAGAAAAACATAAATAAATAACAAAGAACCCGGGGGGAGGGCCCAGCGAGGAGCCGGGCTAAGAGGGCGGCGAGGGCCTCCCACGGGAAAGCCCTACCCCCCGCCCCCCCCCGGCCCCAGAAGTGGGGACTCTAGGAATCCGCCCCTGACCCTTCCCGGGGGAAGTGCTCGCAGGGACCCGGGCAGGACCACGGGGGCGGGGGCCTCCAGCCCCGGGGTCACTCACAGAGGAGGGGCGCCCGGGGAGAGGAGAGCGCCGCACCCCGCGGCCCAGCGGGTAAAGGGCTGGAGCGCCCGCCGGGGCCTCGGGAGGAGCCGGGGGTCGGGGGGCTCCGCGGAGGGGGCTGTACCTGCTGCCTTCGGGACCATGGCCGGGAGCGCGATGCCAGCCCAGCGGGGCGGATGGAGCCTGGGGCGCCGGGGGACACGGCCCCATCCTGCGCTCCCCCAGGACAGGCGGGGCGGGGAGGGCCCGGGACAGCGAGGACGCTCCTGCTTGGGGTGCCCCCAGCTGTGCAGGTCAGCGCCCCGCCCCGGAGCATCCAGGCCCCCGGACTGGGAGCTGCGGTAGTTACTGGGGAGCTGACTCCAGGGCTGGGGAGCCGACCGCCGCCAGTGGGGTTGTTCCTCCCGGTGTCACTCTGTGCCTGGGACTGAGCGGGGCCACCAGGGGACAGGGGCCTCGTGGGGTCAACAGCTCCCACGGAGTCCGGCACCTGGCAGGGGGCGGGGCATCCCCCTGGGTGCACACACCTGAGAATCAACACAGCAGGCCCCTCGACCAGAAGACCAGCTGGAAGGAGAGAGCAGGACAGCAAATTCTTGACCCAGCAGCACTGGAAAGCTCCAGGACCAAGGGAAATAGTATATAGAACTAAAGGGTCCCCCTTTGTTTTTATTTTTTTTCCTTTTTCCATTGTAACTCTTTTATATCAGACTAAAAATTTCCAATATGTCTAATCTTTTTCCACCTTATTTACAATATTTTGCCAGCTCTTCATTTTTAAGTTTTTTCCCTTTTGACTTTCATATTTCTACAATTACAGGTCTTAGATATATTTTTCACTTATGGATTCCCTTCAACATATTCAATTTAATTTGGGGAGATATACAAGATATGGGTTTTTGTTTTGTGTTTGTTTTCTCTGCCTCATTTTGTTCTACAATAGCGGAAGTTAATATCTTCTAAAATATGACCAGCATGCACCCAAAACCAAATGGAATACTGTTCCAGTTCATTCTGAGAGATTATATTCTCTCTTCATTCCCATTCTACCCCCCCCTTTTATCTTGTGTATGTGTTGGTGGTCAGTGTTGGGGCCCTCTATAGGTATTGCTGGTTTATACAAATTGGGATTGAGCATCTAACATACAGAACAAAATACACTCAGAACCAAGAGGATCATCCTCTAGGACTCTTCAGGTAGACTACATTCTTTCTCCACTACCAGTTCTTCACCACCACTATCTCAGTCCTTTTTTTTTTCTTTTTTTTCTTTACCTATTTTTTCTTTTATTCTTTTTCATTTTTCTTCTTCTTTGGGGTTTTGGGCCTTTTATTTTTACTACTTTGTTTTAAGATTTGTTTTTCACTTTAGTGGTCCTTTTGGTTTATTAAGTTCTGATCTTCTTTTTCATTTTCTGGTCTCTCATCAGAATCACCTAGGGTGGAATTTACTTAGATTGTAGTTGATATTTTTAACTCAACCTGCTCATACAGCCACTCTGCACTGAATAAAATGACTAGAAGGAAGAATTCACCACACACACACACACACACACACACACACACACACACACACACACAAAGAATCAGAAACAGTACTCTCTACCACAGAGTTACAAAATATGTATTTCAATTTGATGACAGAAAGCCAATTCAGAAGCACACTTATAAAGCTACTGGTAGCTCTGGAAAAAAGAATAAAGGGCCCTAGAGATTTCATTACTGCAGAATCTAGATCTAATCAGGCCAAAATTAAAAATCGGTTAAATGAGATGCAATCCAAACTGGAGGTCCTAACAATGAGGGTTAATGAGGTAGAAGAAAGAGTGAGTGACATAGAAGACAAGTTGATGGTAAGGAAAGAAGCTGAGGAAAAAGTAGAAAAACAATTAAGAGGCCATGAGGAAAGGCTAAGGGAAATAAATGATAGCCGGAGAAGGAAGAATCTATGTATAATTGGGGTTCCAGAAGAAGTTGAGAGGGAGAGTGGGCCACAGAGTATATTTGAACAAATCATAGCTGAGAGCTTCCCTAATTTGGGGAGGGAAACAGGCATTCAGATCCAGAACATAGAGTGTTCCCCCCCCCAAATCAATAAAATCTGCTCAACACCTCGACATTTAACAGTGAAATTTGCAAATTCCAAAGATAGAGAGAAAATCCTTAAAGCAGCGAGAGACAAGAGATTCTTAACTTATATGGGGAGAAATATCAGATTAACAGCAGACCTCTCCACAGAGACCTGGCAGGCCAGAAAGGGCAGGCAGGATATATTCAGGGTCCTAAATGAGAAGAACATGCAGCCAAGAATACTCTATCCAGCAAGGCTCTCATTCAGAATAGAAGGAGAGATAAAGAGCTTCCAAGATAGGCAGAAACCTAAAGAATATATGACCACCAAGCCGGCTCTGCAAGAAATATTAAGGGGGAACCTGTAAAAGAAAGAGGAAGCCCAAAGAAATAATCCACAAAAACAGGGACTGAATAGGTATTACAATGACACTAAATTCATATCTTTCAGTAGTTACTCTGAACGTCAATGGGCTAAATATTCCATCAAAAGATGCAGGGTTTCAGACTGGATAAAAAGCAAGAGCTATCTCTGAAGTCTACAAGAGACTCATTTTAGACCTAAGACACCTCCAGCCTGAAAATGAAAAGTTGGAGAATGATTTACCATTCAAATGGTCCTCAAAAAAAGCTGGGGTAGCAATCTTCATATAAGACAGGTAAAGTTTATCCCAAAGACTGAAATAAGAGATAAAGAGGGACACTATATTATATTTAAAGGGTCTATTCAACATGAAAACCTAACAATCATGAATATTTATGCCCCTAATGTGGGAGCTTCTAAGTATATCAATCAATGGATAACCAAAGTAAAGACATACTTAGATAATAATACACTAATAGTAGGAGAGTTCAACACGGCACTTTCTGCAAATTATGGATCTTCTAAGTATAACATGACCAAAGAAACAATAGCTTTAAATGATACCCTGGACCAGATGGATTTCACAGATATTTGCAGAACTTTACATCCAAACGCAACTGAATACACATTCTTCTCAAGTGCACATGGAATTTTCTCCAGAATAAACCATATATGGGGTCACAAATCAGGTCGCAACTGATACCACAAGATTGGGACTGTCCCCTGCATATTTTCAGACCACAATGCTTTGAAACTAAAACTCAATCACAAGAAGAAATTTGTGAGAAACTCAAGCACATGGAGGTTAAAGAGCATCCTCCTAAAAGATGAATGGGTCAATCAGGAAATTAGAGAAGAATTAAAAAGATTCATGGAAACTAATGAAAATGAAGATACAACCATTCAAAATCTTTGGGATACAGCAAAAGAGGTCCTAAGAAGAAAATATATCTTAATACAAGCAAGCCTCCCTCAAAAAATCGGGAAAAACTCAAATACAAACTAATGTTTACCTAAAGGTATTAGAGAAAGAACAGCAAGTAAAACCTACACCAGGCAGAAGAAGGGAGACAATAAAGATTCGAGTAGAACTCCATGAAATAGAGACCAGAAGAACTATAGAACAGATCAACAAAACCAGGAGTTGGTTCTTTGAAAGAATTACTAAGATAGACAAACCACTGGCCAGCCTAATTAAAAAGAAAAAAAACTCAATAAAATCATGAATGAAAGAGGAGAGATCACCACCAATACCAAGGAAATACAAATGATTTTAAAAATGTATTATGAGCAGCTATATGCCAACAAATTAGGCAATCTAGAATAAATGGATGCATTTCTGGAAAATCACAAATTACCAAAACTGGAAAAGGAAGAATTAGAAAACCTGAACAGGCCAATAACCAGTGAGGAAATTAAAGCAGTCATCAAAAACCTCCCAAGGCATAAAAGTCCAGGGCTAGATGGCTTCTCAAAGGAATACTATCAAATGTTTAAAGAAGAAGTAATGCCTATTCTACTAAAGCTTTTCTGAAGGATAGAAAGGAATGCAATACTTCCAATCGTGTTTTATGAAGCCAGCATCACTTTGATTCCAAAACCAGACAAAGACCCCACCAAAAAGGAGAATTATAGACCAATATCCCTGATGAACACAGATGCAGAAATTCTCAACAAGATACTAGCCAATAGGATCCAACAATACATTAAGAATATTATTCACCATGACCAAGTGGGATTTATCCCCAGTATGCAAGGCTGGTTCAACACTGGTAAAGCAATCAATATGATAGATCACTTCAACAAGAAAAAACAAGAACCATATGATCCTCTCAATAGATGAAGAGAAAGAATTTGACAAAATACAGCATCCATTCCTGATCAAAACTCTTCAGAATGTAGGAATAGAGGGAGCATTCCTCAGCATCTTAAAAGCCATCTATGAAAAGCCCACCATAAATATCATTCTCAATGGGGAAACACTGGGAGCTTTTCCCCTAAGATCAGGGACAAGACAGGAATGTCCACTCTCACCACTGCTATTCAACATAGTACTAGAAGTCCTAGCCTCAGCAATCAGACAAAAAGAAATAAAAGGCATTCACAATGGCAAAGAAAAAGTCAAACTCTC